CCCCCCCCCCAAAAAAAATTGTTTTCTCTTATGACTGAAAAATTTAATCCCTGAAAAGGCTAAGTAACATCTATTAAAAACTAGCATTCTACCACACAGATTACGAGAGAGGAGGCTAAGGACAGATTTTAGACACAGTTGTATTTTCATGTTCAAAGTCAAGATGGCAATTGCTCTTCATAGGTAAATAATAAAATGAATAATATGGCCGGCCCCGTGTTTTTCTTCGCCAATTTGTTGTTGTTGTTGTTGTTGTTGTTGTTGTTGTTTTGTTTTTTGTTTTTGTTTTTGTTTTTTTTTATATTTTTTTTCTGTCGCCCTAGATAGACCTTTTCACAGTTTTGGGAGCCCAACTCGACTTCGTCGCCAAAACAAAAGCATTCGCGCGCGAAATCCCGCCTACGCAGGTACCAGATCATAGTCTCCTGTAGCCTGCGAGCAGGCTCATCTTTGAGTCACTCTCGCATGCGGCCGGCCAAGAGCGGAGCGATCCGGCGGAGTGGAGTCTGGCGATGAGGCACCAAGAAAATGAGCCTGCCTTGATCTCTGTAAATTTTTCATTTTATGATGAGGAGCGATTAGATCCCCAAGGAATCGGCTTTTTTCGTCTGTTTGTTTGTTTGTTTTTGTTTGTTTGTTTGTTTTTGTTTGTTTTTGTTTTTTGTTTTTTTGTTTGTTTTTGTTTTCAACCTAAAGAGGGAGCAGGAAATTGCATTTGAAAGTATGTTAATGAATCGAGACCTACTTGTCGTGTTGCCGACTGGACATGGCAAGCCGGTTAAATTTCACAAACATACATGATGGCAAGCGGGCAACGAAACAACACGAAGGTGTTTGCCCGTTTAACAGCATCATCAAAGACCAGATTACCGAGACAAGGTCACTTGGAATCTTGGAGTGTGCGTCCTTGCTAGGCCTTAACTCTCCAGCCATCTCCGGCAAAACTTAATCAACAACAGATTTCGCACCAGCATGTTGTTACGAAAACGATTGAAAGTTTTCTCGAGAAAGCTGAGCTTCCAACGTTCATACTTCCGACGAAAATGAATTGGCCTGTTTTTTCCTGCGGTTTTGCGGATTGAAATGAAAAATCAGAGCAGGCTCCCTTTGTCGATTTCGCGCTCGCGGCCACTGCGCTCGCGCATGTGCACCAACGTGAACCTTCTAGTAAGCCTAAGTCTTTTGCTCCCTTCAATCTGATTTCCAAATGATCACGGTGATCGCTGAAAAAAGAGTCCAGAAGTTCGGGGAACACTGCGATCATATGCAAACAACAGCTCTGTCACCGATCGTGACGATCATGGTGCCGGGAACCGCGGCATGGTATTCTGTCATTGCTGTGTCACGCGTGCGATAGCTACACACAAGTCACGCGATAGTTCTGTCGAGCATCCTTCACATGTGTCAGAACGTACGTCCTGTCAGACATATCGATATCAAAACAGGCAGTGTATTAGGTGAGTCAACTTCTTTTGATAAATAATTGCTGGGGATTGCGGCGGAAATGTTAAATGTATACGTACGCCGTTATAAATCGCTGCAAGCACCAACCGTAGTTTACCGACTCGAAATTGAATACATGTAGAGAGAACTGGCACCGTATGGAAAACTGCTCGAGAAGACGGACGCTTGCCTTGTGATTTGAAGATGTATTTTTTCGGTTTAAAGACGCTCAGGATTCTTGTCTACATGTTTCTGAGACAAGCGATCGAACAGCGGGCAATTTCTTCGGATTATTTGTCGATGCTGATAATGTTTATACTCGCACAGAAAACATGGCGTTTATTTACAGACGATAAAACAGTAAGAGATTTCCTCGGATACTAAGAATTAAGAGGTACATTCTACCATCTTCATTTTTGAGGCGTCATACGAAACTCAAATGTGTCTGTGAACATACGTTTTCGCTAGAAGTCTTTTCCTGCTAGTTTTACTTTCGAAGTCATGAACGGTGCTCTTATATGCGAATTTCAATAGCGTTAATTATTCACGCCTGCTTGCGTTAACGTTGGTCACGCAGTCTCTTGTGTTCAGTCACGGAACACGACTGTCTTGACATTGCTATGGCACAAGAAAGTTTATATTTCGGCGACTTGAAAATAACTGATGAAAATACTGTCTTGCTTTGCTCGGGTCAAGAATGGAAAAATAACCAAACCAAGGTAAATTTTCTAAAAAAATAATTAGATAGATATATTCCGAGACAAAAGATGCTAGTTATTAGGCCACGTGCGATATACCAATATTCTAACATGGCCCCGAGGCTTTCGGGACAAACTTTAATATTTGTTGCTGTTTCCTTGGTGTCCAAGTCTCTTTTGGAAATTGAGAGGAACTGAAGAATATACTTAAATTCCAACGCGGCCTATTACAAAGGCTTAATCGAAGTAAACAGCAATTGGCGCAAAACAATACTTCCTCTATTTTCCGAAGAAACGCGCGTATTCCTACAAAACCAGTACAATACTCAGCTACAGCTCAATACATATGATGGTATGTCTTTTCTTTGTTCACAGCATGGCCTCAAAGTCTTACGAAAGTGGCTTTAAGAGGTATTACGGGAATAGATTAGACAATATCTCAAATGAAACAACAGAGGAAGATATAAAACGCATATACGACGATTGGGCGGGCGAATATGAGGAGGTAATACTTATCAGCATACATGGTACCATCCTCGGAGACCCAGGGGCTGCTAGTCGGGAGGATGCGATATTTTCGGGCGAAAGTTTACTTCAAAAGCGGGAGAGGGCCTCTCTCGCGCTTAAAGTAAATTTCGCCCGAAAATATCGCATCCTCCCGACTAGCGCATAGCAGCCCCTGGGTCTCCGTGGATGACATGGTATTTATCAACATGGCGTAGTATACATGATGGTACTGCTGATATGAGCAGTGCCATCAATTTTATTCAACCCTCTTCGTGTAAGTAATTAAAACTCTTCCTGCTGAGAATGTTTGGGCAGGAGGCTCCATTGCCTTGTAATCTATATATGTATACCAATATCCTGTTGCCCTTGGAAACACACAGGCAAGGCAGTCAGTTAGGTGAGACAAGAGAAAGTCTTGCCAACCTCGTTTCCAAGATCTCTCTGCCTCCCGGCTTCGGGAGAAAGAAAGGGATGAGGAAGAAAAAAGGTCCTGGAAACTAGGCTAAAATCTTGAAACGATTGCGGGCGTGCCGGTACTTAACAAGAATTCCAACACGTTTTTGTAAACTGTTGTTACGCAGGTTTCGATTGTGGAGTTTACTTATTGCACTCCTTTTTATAATGTCCTTTCCTTTTGTTATACCACCATGTGAAGCACGAAGTAGACTATGAGTAGCCCCTCTTTCACTTATTAATTAATCCGTCGTGCGTGACGCGAAAGAAAGCGTCATGCAGGGAATACTCGTAGTCTACGCGTGAAACGGAATGACACATTTACTTAAGTACACTGTAACTTTCAGAGCGTCGTCGTTGCAGCGGGTGGAATTTACTACAAGCCATTTGCCGAATCTTTCGATGCAACAGTCAAAAAACTCTTAAAGGACATGGCAAAAGATCAGATTAAAATCATTGATGTCGCAGCCGGAACGGGGCTGATTGGTGTTGAACTTCAAAAACTCGGCTACGCTAACCTACATGCTCTGGATATCTCACAAGAAATGTTGAATGAAGCCAAGAAGAAAAACGTGTACAAGAAGCTCATATGTGCAGCTTTGAATGATCAGCGGATTCCTGAGATTGAGACAGGAGAGTTTGATGCGTTGGTGTGCGGTGGTACGATGCTCACGGGACATATCCGCTCCTCGGCGCTTGTGGAAATGATTAGAATGGTGAAGATCGGTAAGTTTCACTCCCATTTATATCCTGTGATTTTGTAACGTAAAATTAAAAAAAAAAAAATAGAAAACAAAGAAATACAAAAGGAATAGAGGCAATGTTCCCCCTCCGGGAGGGGGGGGGGGTTGGTACTCCCTTATAGGGGCTATATAGGTATGCGCGGCCCCAAAGGGTATGGTTTTTTTAGTCAGAAATGGGGGATCGATTTTGGCCATTTTGGTCTTAAAGAGAATATGTTTTTTTTCCTCTAGTCTTGAATTCAGTATGCTTTTTTTTTGTAGAAGAAGCCACTTTTTCATCATTATCGATGTGACTATCAACAAAAGCCCTTCAGCACGCCTTAAGCATCAGTGTAAACTAAGTAACTACTTACAACACAGGTCTTGAAAAGAGTATTGATTTATGGGTCAGAGTATCAAATCTTTGGTCAGGTCATGAATAGGTAGGGAGAATCACAGAATTTGGTCCTAAGTAATGTAAGGGTTTTGGGAAGCGGGCCGCACACCCCCACCCGAATTTTCTGGCAGTACACCCCGGGCAATAACCCCTTAATCCCCCTCCCCCTCCCCCCGCCCCCGCCCCTTCTCTTAGCTCACGGACGATAAGGAGCCCAGACTAATACGTATCCTCTAAAGCTGCCTCCCTTTTATTTCAGTTCAGGGTTTTATTACAACAACAATTTATTATTACAATTTACTACCTTTCGTTTCGTTTCGTTTCGATTTTTTTTTTATTTTTATTTACCAACTTAGTTTTAGTTAGATCAGTTCGGTCAATTTGTTGCATTTCATTGTAATTTTCAGGTGGTCTTATTTGTTTCAACATTCGGGATGGTCAGCTGGTTGACTACCAAGGAAAGATATCCGAACTGGAGACATTGGGAAAATGGAAAAAAGTCTCCAAAACTGTAATACCATTTTTCGAAAGTGATGGCATGCCAAAAGAAACTATGGTGTTCGTATACAAAGTGCTCGATGTTATAATTTGACTGTGATTGTTAACCGATGAATTCCTTTAGAAATAGTTTGTGGTTTTATTTTGAGGTCTCTTTGCTGAATGCAAACTGTATGAGAACTTTTGCTCATGTTCGGGTGGTATTTGTATCCACTGGTATTCGAGCGCGGAGATCCAAAACGGTTTGCCTAAACTAATATATACATTAAAAACATGACTGGTTTTGTTAATCGATCGTGTTGCAAGTGACGGAATCGAATGACATTCGCATACACTTTGCCATGTACAAATACATACATACACTTTAGCTTGACATGGTACAAAACATCAGCTACAAACTTAATTAACGAGATTAAAAGCAAAACAAAACAAAACAAAAAAACACGAAAGAAGAAAAGAATTTCATATGTTTTCCATACTTCTAAGTATATATAAAAATAATTATATAAAAAAGTATATAAAAAAGTATACAAAAAAATATAAGCATATAAAAATAGTAAAAAACTATGAAAAACTATAATAGTAAAAACTAATAGTAAAAAACTATAAAAGTATATAGTATACAAAATACATATATATATATATATATATATAAAGGTCTCGCAAGTGGTCTGGAGTTTGTTCATTCAAAATGTTAAAAATGTATTTCGCTTTTTCACAGACTTGTTTGGATCACGACAAGTTTTGATCGATATAGACTGCTAAGGATTTGGTGTCAAACTATCTGTATCGTCAGTCAAAACCCAGCGGTGTAAGCGTGTCTATGACAGCAGGCTGTTACATGTAACATTTTATAGTTCGGTTGAAAAGAAAATGGCGACAAAATATCACTTAATTTTTACTCCTCAGATGTCCCCCCTTTCCCATAAGGTTTTTTTTTTCTCTCTCTTTTTCACAATTTTGAAAAGATGATTTACTCTGTCATCCTTAATTCGATTAAATTTCAGCAGATGTTCATCCATCCTTCGTGGAGAATTTGATTGTCCCTCTTCCTCATTTGACATTGCCATAGCAACCACATTTTTTCTGACTTTCTGAGAAAATAGTGAAATCCAAGATGGCGGATCCCACAATGAAGATAGCGGACTTAATGACGTCATATGAGTCAGGTGACATCATCATGCCCTAAACGTTTGCCTATATCTATAAAATGCTAAACAATTTGGCGTGCTTTATCACAACGAAAACTCAGGGAAGGGGCTCAAACCACCTCCTACACCACCCCTTGGTTATACCACGATGGTAATCAAAACTGAATGCAAGGCTGGCACTACGGCAGAACAGCTGGGTTATATATTGAGGCCAATACTTCGACTTGAAACATCCGTCTTTCTCAAGAAAGTGCTCGATATTATTATGTGTTGAGAAAGGCTTATGTTGTAAGTCGAAATATTGACCTCAATAGATGAGCCATGCTGCTGTGGTGCCAGTCTTTCATTCCATTCTTGATTACACACTAAGGGATGTCGGGTACGGGCATCGTGTAGGAACAGGAGCCAATTGCTGGTTTTCAGTGTCATGCAATTCAAAATAGATCAAAATAAAAAAAACAAAACAAAACAAAACAAAACCGGTCAATGAATTGAGTCCAGAATCTGGGAAATGAAAGAAAGTAAATATGGAAAGACTCTCGCCAAAGTTCTCTTCACAGCAATTTTTCTTATGCGAGATATGCGGAGAAATGTTTTACCCAAATTTATAGAGATTTGTATGGAGATGCCATGCTGATGCCCATCCGT